ACACAAAGCTTGTAGCTGTTTTACACTACACGTCTGCCCTACAGACGCCACGATCTCCTCGGACAATATCCCTGACGATCACCACTTCCTTTCAGGGAAGATCGAATGTTTCCTTTTCAAACAGATTGGAATTCATGTGCCGCTTTCAGCAACCTCCTCATACATATCCTGGAACCTTTTCCAACACAAACAGAATCTCTCTCAGAGATCACCTGGGTAAGCAACAACAGGTGCTGCTGCTGCTGCTGCTGCTGCTGGGGTCGACTGAACCTTGAGGGCCGAGACGATCAAGTCTAGCCACGCCGCCAAACGGTAACCAGCCTTTGCAATCTGCTCCTCAACAACGGGAGCGGCTCCTTCAAAGTAGTCCGACCCCAGTTCCTGGTCTCTGATGGCTTCGGCACCCTCAGGAAGGACTTTGATATCCGCATCAACATATGTCAGCAACCCGCATCATGCATCAAGTCAGGAATGAGGGATCTTCCGAGTAAGACTCACCTGTTGTACAGACCAATGCATTTCCTTCTCTAGCCCAAGCCAAGGCTGTGGAGATGGGATCTGAGATGTTGGTGTTTTTGAGCCATTTGACCTGACCCGAGGAATACTTTCCCAGCTTGATCTCCTTGGTGAGCTCGTCGGCCCACTTCCTTGCGTATGGATAAGGCTTTCGATGAATTCCGCCGACAAGCTTTTCAGCAATGCTCGTGTCCCAGACGTGATGAAGGTTAAAGTTGACGCCGTCAAACGTCACGTGAATGCCATTTCCACCACGCTCAACATCCTCAGTATGCAGCGGCTGATGAATGTCACCGATGAAGTGAATAACGAACTTGGCCGCTACGGCACGTTCATATGGGGGCAGCTGCGTGTCGAGGAGGCGGGTGGTGTAGTTGTGCAGAGCACTGACGACGCAGCCTGCATCCTTCTTGCAGTCCCTCTCATAATCGATGCCGCAGTAGGTTGGTGGGTTGTCTTTGGCGTCGATGTAATGGAACCCGCCGCTCCAGCGGAACCATTTTGAGTAACGGGCAGAATCCGCCCATGTGGCAACGCCGGCGAGGTAATCGCCTGTGTCATTACGCAAAAGTGTCTGTAGATAAGAGGTGGTTGAACTTGAGACAAAGTTACTGGCGATATATGCCACTGTGATGTGTCCAAAGCCTGTTTTACACGGTCAGTCTGTGTGTACAGAGGGTTCAAAAAAAGGGGGGGTTAAACCAACCTCCCCATGCCAAAGCACTAGGCAAGGCTGCCGCGCTGACCGCTAATGATGATAATTTCATGATGATAGTTTATTCCTGATGGTTTACAACAGAGGGAGGGATACACAAAACAAATTGGACTAGTGATGAATATTGTATATAAAAGAGACCATCTGATAAAAGGAGAGAGATCAAATGAGCTGGCAGGGCTGACTCCTCGAGGCCTGCTGACCGGTCGTTGTCAATCAGCCGCCCCGAGATGGTGTTGGCAGAGAAACGCGCCAGCGAATAGAGACAGGGGTTGTCGCCGGAGGGAGCCCCTCATCATCATGGTCATCCATCCCGTTGAGAGAGTTCATTTCAATCCATTGAGAATCAATAACATCTTTTATCTTTGTTGACCTTGTTGGGAATTGAAAAAAAAGACCACAAGGTTCAAATCAGATCAATTGCTTTCATCACACTCATTTTCTATCTATCATAGGGACTCATAGCCGCGCCAAGATTCAATATCCCCAGGCAATGCGAATCCGGCCATCATAGCTGGTTTGAATCAACTGTGGGCTGGTTGTCTTGGCAAGTCATCTCCCGACAGAAAACCCACAGATCGGATGCGGGGTGGGAACATTTAGTGCAGTCGACCGATTGAAGCCATGAATATTCAACAAGAAGATATTGAATTTTTGGAGTTTTAGTTTTTGGTTGAGAGAATAATAAATGCAGGGTCTTTTCTCTTTTGGCATATCCCGGATAGGTGTGACGCAAAGTTGCTGTAAAAGCTGGCCAACAGCAGATGACGATGTAACCTATTTTTCGGTTATCGTTGGCGCATCAAAATCTTATCGTTCTCTTTTTTTTCCAAAGATTGGCTGTGTGTGACTGTGTGTGAGATAAGACCCTTGTGCTTGTCTTACCTATGTTGGAGAGACAAGAGGATTTGTTGAACTGACTCAAATCCCACCACCACCACCACCTGACCGGTCCCGGCCGGTTTTTTTCCCTTTGTCAAGTCTCGCAAAAGTTTCTCCTTTTCTACTCTATCCAAATATTCAATGACATAAAAGCCGGTATTCGGTATAAAAACGCTTATCAGTTCGAACGAAAACCCCCCTCCTCCCCCTCGCCGATAGAAATGACAGCTTTCGTCATGGCCCTCCCAGAGGCTGTCAAAGACGCCAAATTGGGCGAGGCTTTGTCCGGCATCTTTGGCAGTGTCAGTTTGGCAGCTTGGATATGTTTACTGGTATGCGCAAAAAAGAAAACACAAAATGGAAATGAAAAAGTCAAAAACACAGACTAAAAAATTGCCCCCGTCCTCCAGTTGCCCCAATTAATCGCAAACTACAAGGCCAAAAGCGCGGATGCCTTGTCCATGAAGTTTCTTCTTATATGGCTGTTGGGAGACATTGCAAACCTTTCCGGCGCACTCTGGACCTCCCTCGCCCCTTCGACCATTGCGCTCGCCTGTTACTTTTGCGTAGCGGATTTGATCCTCATCACGCAGTGCACTTACTACAACACCATCAATGCCCGTCGGCGCGCGCGCGAGCAGCACCACAGACACCATGGACATCACCACCATCAAGACTCGACACAACCCGAACGAACTCCCTCGGCAGACTCAGACACCACGGCCGTATGCGACGACACCGAAACCCCTTCCGAATCCACCCCGCTTATAACCGAGGGCTCGCACCCCCGTCGCTCGCGCAGTGACTCAACTGGTCTCCCCGGTTCGCATCGACGTCACTCGGTCCGTCGCGCCTCGAGCAACCTCGACCCCTTGACGCGCATCATCACCGGCGAAGACGACACCCCCGACAGCAATCCTTGGCTGCACAACGCCGTGTCCCTCGCGGCCGTCTGGGTCGTTGGCGGGGCAGGATGGTTTCTTTCGTACAAGATGGGTGCGTGGGGAGACAATGACGACGACGACACCGCCAATCCCCCCACTAATACTACTCCTGTCTCCTCCACAACCCACGTACAGGCCGTCGTAGGCATGATTCTGGGATATTTCAGCGCGGTTTGTTATCTATGGTAAGCTTTTTCTTAGGACCCCCCCCCCCCAAAAAAAAAAAAAAAAAAAAAAAACCATTTAACTGACGAGGAATAATATAAAAAAAAAGTGCTCGAATCCCACAAATCATCAAGAATTACAAGGAAAAATCCTGCGAGGGTCTGGCTCTCTTGTTTTTCCTCTTGTCTCTGACTGGTAATTTTACTTATGGCGCGAGCGTGATTTCGTATTCGCAGGAATCGGATTACTTGGTGCGCGCGCTGCCGTGGTTGCTCGGGAGCTTGGGAACCATGGTGGAGGATTGTATTATTTTTGTGCAGTTTAGGATATATTCACCTAAGAGGAGGGAAGTAAAGGTTACTAGAGCTGCGTGAAAAGAGGTGGATGTATACGGGAGGAAATGTTGCGACGACGGATTTTTTTCTAATGGGAATATGTGTGTATGAACAAGGAGGGGTTTTGGGATTTTTTTTTTTTGATTGGATTGACGTTCTGATGCATGATTATGATGTGCTTTCTCTTATACTGGTTTTTTTGGGGGGCGGGGTTAGGTACCTTAGGTATCGATATATTGGTACGGACCGGGGAAAGGGGGTGGGTGATGGACATTGCATCATCTTGCGTTTTTTTTCTTTTTTGCAAATCATCAGAATGGGCATTGGCATTGACTTTAGTTTGTCTGGGAGTTTCAAGTATTTTTTGGATGATGGTTTATGATGTATGGAAATTGATTCATTTGCAATTTTTCATTTCTGATAAACAGTGGTTTAAGAAATGGGCGTGTGGCCGTCGGGTCTATGAAACAAAGATCGCCAGATCATTCGATAGCAAGAGACCGGGCAGTCCGGCAACCTTGATCCTTCATTTGGTCATCTCATGATGCTCGATACCGAGGGTCCGGAGTCGAGGCCGGGGCCAGATTGCCAAGCCGGGTGTAGGTGGATCCCATCGGACCGATCTTACGGAGTACCCATGGGTATACACATGTCTTTTATCTTTGACCCTGCGAAGGACGATCCTTATTCATCTTGCAAGCTCTAAGCGGCCAAATGTGCATATTGGTGGCTGAAACCACAAGGACTTGGACTGTGGGCGAGCCATAAATAGCATGCTCTTAAAAAAAAAAAAAAAAAAAAAGAGTATCTAGTCCTCATTGGAATCGCTGGCGAAATTGTGAAAGGAACTGTGTGACGAATCCGCCGTTCAGTACCTCTGAAAGGGATTCTAGTTGAAGGTGAACTGTTGAACAATGATTCGGTGTAGCCAAAGGGTACACAACAATAACTGTCTCTTGGAACAAGTAATGAGAAGGTAACTTGTGCTGGTTGAATTATCTGTTGCATACTGAGGAATCTATCTAAGCTGGCTGATTCCTCCGTATATATAGAGAGTGGTCTTGGCGGTTCGAGAGCCCATAAGAGCCAAGCTGTTGATTCTTTGAAGACCTCGTTTACAACTACCGGGCTTTGTAGTTGCCCGCATGCAGCCAGTGGGCCTTCTACAGGCTTGCAAAGGTCTTTGTAGAAGCCTTTGTGGGAGCCCACCGCTTACGGCTAGTGGAAGACAGGAAGCCCCGGGTATGATCCGTGACAAACTGATAGATATCAGTTAGTAGTAATATATATATGTGTATATACGGAAGTTGGACGAGTACTTCTGTACTATTATTTTCAAATCTAATACAATTTCTATTCGATTTAAACCCAACCTGATTGACGGTTTTGGAGTATATAGTCCATATTTTGCTATTTCTTTAACAACAACCAATAAAAGGATAAGGGCTCGTGGTCTAGTGGTATGATTCTCGCTTAGGGTTACTACCTGAGCTTCTATGCCTTGCATGCGAGAGGCCCCGGGTTCGACTCCCGGCGAGCCCCTGTTGTTGTCTATTTTTTATGTTTGGATGTTGTTGAAATTTTTTTCCGGTTTTGAGTTTCTTTCCCTATTAGATAGTTGGAGCAAAGACGTGGGTGGGTGGTTTGGAATTTTTTAGAATTGAGCATTTATCAAGAGCTTTTTTTATAGGACCTTTTTGCAAGAATTTCTCCTATGTCCATTGGCTGAGAGATTCAGCGTACCATATAGTATTGCTCGTGGCATACATAGCTCGTAGAAATGGTATGGTTTTGGCTGGTGGAAAGAAGGAGCAATGCGGAGGTGCGTGTGCCAGGAAGCAACCCCCAAGTTCATCATCCAACAAAAGCCACATACAGATTCCAAGGGCAATATTCCACAACCCATATTCCACCCCCAGTATTCTACATAACCTATTATATTACAGGGCCAGAACCTCGGAGCCAATATTGACCTTTAAGGTATATTGAGTGGGAAGTGTGGAAGCCATTGCATCAATAAGATAGGTATGGAAAATCAAGCGAAGCGAGGACCGGGGGTTTGAGGGCTTACCCCCATAACCAGCAGTGGCAGTGGCAGCGGTGGTCGGTTGTGGTCCTTGGAGCTTCGCTCTCTTCCTTTCGAAGCATTGAGCAAGGCAATTTATCGGGGGGCACCCCCTTTTTGATCCAAGGGCACTAGGTCCCAGATTTTTGAATATTTGTGTCACGGCGCTGGTCCTGGGCCTGGGAAACCTAGGAGAAGGCCTACTATATAAGCCATTCAAGTGCAAGTCCTGGGGACTTGTAGTCTTGTATCCTTTTGTAAGGGCATGGCTCAATGGGCAGAATGGCTCCCAG